GTATCTTGAAACTCTAGCCAAGGCTTATTTGTCTCCTATTATCAATGTTGATGCTTGTACTACTAACTCTAGTGGTGACCTAGCATCTATTCTTGAGGAGAATCACTTTCTCAAGGATAAACTCGAGGAATGACTCGTGACATATGCTCAAGGACAAAAGAACCTTGATGAGGTATTGAGCCAACACAATGAAGTGTTTGCCAAAGAGGGGCTCTGGTTTGACCCAAGCACAAGCAAGAAGAAGACGTCTTATCAAAAGTGCACCACTCCTCTGAAAGAAATGTTTGTACGAGAAGGACACAAGGAGAAGGCTAAGGTTGTGAGTGGGAAGGCCACAAGGGGCATGCCCACTCTCAACAAGCCAAAAGAGTTCATGCCTCCATCCTATGTACTTCGTAAAACTAAGGATGGAGAAGTTTATGCAAAATTTGTTGGTCCTTGAAATGCATTCTAGTTTTATGCTATTTGGATCCCTAAGACCCTTGTGACTAACTTGAGAGGTCCCATTGCAAAATCGGTGCCTCTAACCAAGTCATAATTGTGTGTAGGTTGCTTTCTCTGGTTGAGTAAAATGGGTAATCGATAGTGGATATACCAATCATATTACCAGAGATAACAAGTTGCTCTACGATTTCATGGAAGCTATTCAACCATTTATGAGCATTATGTTTGGTGGAGGATCAAAAGGATAGGTACTCGGGTTGGGCAAGGTGGCTATCACAAATGACATGTCTCTTGCAAATGTCATGCTTGTCCAACCCCTTAAATACCATTTGCTTTCTATTCGCCAATTGGCTTCTGTTGGTTATGATACACTCTTTGGACTAAGGGACGTGATAGTCTTTAAGAGAGATACTCTCGAAGTGGCCTTTGTTGGAGAGTTGGATGGCAACCTTTACACGGTTGATTTCTCGAAAGAGAGCACATTCCATGCACCTCGTCTAATGGCCAAGGCCGACAAGGGGTGGCTATGGCATCGCCGGCTAGCCCATGTCTGCATGAGAAATCTTCAAGATCTTTTAAAGGGTAATCACATCCTCGGGCTAACAAATGTCTCTTTTGAGAAAGATCGTGTGTGTAGTGCATGCATAGCTGGGAAGCAACGTCAATCAAAGCACCCACCCAAGAATATCGTGTCTACTTCAAGGCCTTTTGAGCTCCTTCATGTGGATCTCTTTGGGCCTCCTTCATGGGATAGTCTTGGTGGGAAAAAGTATGGACTTGTCATTGTTGATGATTACTCAAGATATACATGGGTGTTTTCCTCAAGTCCAAGGACAAGACGAAGATCACCTTCATTTATTTTGCCAAGAAAGCACAACGCAAGTTTGACAAAGAAATCTTGGCAATAAGAAGTGATAATGGCTCCGAGTTCAAGAACTACACCTTGGAAGGATTTCTCAGTGATGAAGGGATTGAGCATCAATATTCCACACCATACACACATCAACAAAATGGTGTTGCCGAAAGGAAGAACCGTACACTTGTGGAGATGGCAAGGTCCATGTTGGATGGATACAAGTCGCCACATAGTTTTTGGGCCGAGGCTGTCAACACCGCATTCCATGCATCAAACCGGCTCTTCCTCCGCACAATATTGGAAAAGACTCCATATGAGCTCCTAACCGGGAACAAGCCAAATGTCAAGTACTTTCGTGTATTTTGGTGCAAATGTTTCAACCTCAACAAAAGAGAACAGTTAGGAAAATTTCAATCCAAAACCACTAAGGGCGTATTTGTTGTCTATGGATCAAACTATCATGCCTATAGAGTCTACAACAAATCCAACGGATGTGTTGTAGAAACTTGTGACATGGCGTTTGATGAATTTAATGGCTCCCACGGGGAGCAAGTTGATCTAAGTGATGTAGGTGAAGAAGATTCTTCTCAAGATATTTTTTCCATGGGTGTTGGTGCTCTTCTTCCTATGGAACAAGAACCTCATGATGATGAAGAAGAAGAGGGAAGTTTCACACATCATCAAACCACTTCAACATCCATACCACCACAAGCTCCTATTGCTCAACCCGTGCCCATAGTTCAAGTACAACAAGAAGATCAAGTACCTCACCATGATCAAATTCTTCAAGAGCAAGTTCATCACCAAGAGCAAGAACAAGAAAGTACAATCTTTGATGATGAACCTCAAATGCAATATGAAGAAGAAGATCTTCCACCACACATTAATGTTCCATATGTTGAAGATGTGGATGATGGACATGAAGTTGAACCTCGTGAAACTCTAACCTCCATCATGCCCCGAGTGGCCGGCCGTGTTGATGTCGATCAAATTCTTACCGGCATATCGGAAGGTAGAGTCACTCGTAAACATTTGACAAACTTTTGTGCTCACTTCTCGTTTGTCTCTAGTTTTGAGCTGCTTAAGGTACAAGATGCATTGGTGGACAATGATTGGCTCGTTGCTATGCAAGAAGAGTTGAACAATTTTGAACGCAACCAAGTGTGGTCATTAATCAAGAGACCAACTACGGAACACAATGTCATTGGAACAAAATGGATTTTCAAGAACAAGCAAGATGAGAATGGTGTAATCATCCGCAACAAGGCAAGGTTAGTGGCTCAAGGGTACTCACAAGTTAAAGGTTTGGACTTTGATGAGAAATTTGCTCCCATTGCCTGTCTTGAATCTATTCGCATCTTACTTGCCTATGCTGCTTTCAATGGTTTTACATTACATCAAATGGATGTGAAGAGTGCTTTCCTTAATGGTCCTCTACAAGAAGAAGTATATGTACCACAACCACCTGGGTTCGTTGATCCCGATCACAAAGACTATGTGTATAAACTTCACAAGGCTTTGCATGGCCTCAAACAAGCACCTTCTGCTTGGTATGACCATCTTAAGAAGTTTCTACTGGATGATGGTTTTGTGAGAGGGATGATTGATCCCACTCTTTTTACTAAGAGGGACAAGGGTTATTTGATCCTATGCCAAATCTATGTAGAAGACATCATTTCTGGTTCTCCTAACATTCATTTGTGCAAGAAGTTTGCGGCCTCCATGACCAAGAATTTTGAAATGTCACTCAATGCGGACTTGAAGTTCTTTCTCGGATTCCAAATTCAACAATTTTAAGAATGAATTTTCTTGCCTCAAGCAAAATACCTCAAGGATATTCTAGAGAAGTTTGGCATGTCTGATGCTAGTCCATGTAAGACACCCATGGCAACAAAAAATGTACTCACCGAAGACACAAACGATATCCCTTTCAACCCATCTATTTACCGCTCTATGATTGGTTCATTGCTTTATCTTTGTGCATCTAGACCAGACATCATGTTCAGCGTATGCATGTGTGCTAGATTTCAAGCTTCCCCTATGGAAAGTCATCATAAGGCGCTTAAGCATATTATTAGATACCTTGTTCACACCCCAAAGTTGGGTCTATGGTACCCCCAAGGATGCTACATTTGATCTCATTGGGTACACGGATGCGGATTGGGATGGAGACAAAGTGGAACGTAAGTCCACCTTTGGTGCATGTCAATTTCTTGGACGCTCCTTGGTAAGTTGGTCCTTGAAGAAACAAAATTGTGTTGCCCTCTCCACTGCCGAAGCCGAATACATTGCAACCGCCAGTTGTGCAACTCAATTACTATGGATGAGGCAAACTTTGAAGGATTACGGTATCACCTATAGACATGTGCCTCTTCTATGTGACAATGAAAGTGCCATCAATATTGCTGAGAATCCCAAAGATCATACCCGCACCATGCACATTGATATTAGGTATCATTTCTTGAGAGATCATGTGGAAATGGGTGACGTTGATATTTCTCATGTTGGTACAGATATGCAACTTGCAGACATTTTCACCAAGCCATTGGATGAAGCAAGATTTTGTCAACTTAGGCGTGAACTTGGTATCTTGGAGCTTGACAACATCATCTGAAATCTAGTACCCATCCATGCATGTACTTCATGTCTTGTCTTGATGTAGGCATATATTTAGGGGGAGAACTTCAATCCATGAATCCTCTTCCCCCTATGTAATGCACAAATAAAACCAACACTCTCAAAGTCACTGTGACACTTATTTTGTGTCCACAATACTTTAAAATGATGGAGTAGTAATCTTGGGTCCAAAGTTCAAATCTTTGGTATACCAAGTTATGTATACTCAAACATGGTGGCTTAGGCTACAACTCTTCTTAGTTGGTTATGCGGGTTTCTACTAACTAAAACTAAGAAGTCAGAATTTTTCCATCCAAAAAAGCCTTTCTAGTTTAAGATCTACATTTCTAGATATTGTGGTAGTTCGACCACGGAATTTTTTTGTTTCAGTATCTCTCAAAGATGAGTGTGTGACTTGCTAGAATTGATCCTATTGATAATACATAGAAAGGGCCTGTTATCTCTATCAAGATGATTCTAATTCATCAGATATTATTTATTCTAGTATCCGGAACACGAAATAGATAGAGTGTGTAAAAAAAAATGGAACTATGATTCATACTCACTATTATGGCCTCGCAACCAGACTGAAAAATTCAAGTAGTTCTTAAATAAAAATAAAAAAGAAATTTTCTTCCTTCCAATTTTGTTTGCCCAAAAGACAACTTTTTCTCTCTCGATTTTGTCGAGTCATTACACTGATTCAATAAATGATTATCAAGTGGTTCTTATTCGAAGTACCCTTGCCTTTTGTTTAGCTTGAGACTAAATCATCGTGGCTCTAGTATGAATCTAAGTTTTTAATTGAACTGATTCACAGGATCTCAACAAGATAATTTCTATATTATGCATAAAAAACAAATCCTTTATAGGGAAGAGAAAAGTCAAGAAGCCTCTAATGACCAACATAAGGGAAAGGAAGAAAGAAAGAGGCACCAACTTGAGATTTTTTGGCATTATCATCACAAAGAAGATATTCCGGATTTTTCTTATTTGATATCTTCAAGGCAAATCGACCCAATTCAGTGGCTGATGAAGTTTTGAACCTTTTTTAAATGTTTTGTGTTTCTGCTTGAGCCGTAAGATGAAATTTTCATATACGGCTCTTAGAGGGGGACTCGGGTTAGTTACCTATCTCAATAAAGTATATGATTGGTTTGAGGAACGTCTTGAGATTCAGGCAATTGCAGATGATATAACTAGTAAATATGTTCCTCCCCATGTCAACATATTTTATTGTTTAGGGGGAATTACACTTACTTGTTTTCTAGTACAAGTCGCTACCAGTTTTGCTATGACTTTTTACTACCGACCAACCATTACAGAGGCTTTTTCCTCGGTTCAATACATAATGACTGAGGCCAACTTTGGTTGGTTAATCCGATCAGTTCATCGATGGTCAGCAAGTATGATGGTTTTAATGATGATCATGCATGTATTTCGTGTGTATCTCACAGGGGTATTTAAAAAACCCCGTGAATTAACTTGGGTCACAGGTGTGGTTTTGGCTATTTTGACTACATCATTTGGTGTAATTGGTTATTCTTTGCATTGGGATCAAATTGGCTATTGGGCAGTCAAAATTGTGACAGGTGTACCTGACGCCATTTCGGTAATAGGATCGCCTTAGTGGAGTTATTACATGGAAGTGCTAGTGTGGGCCAATCCACTTTGACTCCTTTTTATAGTTTACATACCTTTGTACTGCCTCTGCTTACTGCAGTATTTATGTTAATGCACTTTCCAATGATACATAAGCAAGGTATTTCGAGTCCTTTATAGGGAAGGCATATCATAGAGAATTATAATTATCATATATCATATTGGGTAGGTTTTGGTATTTCATTGCTACAAGCATGGGTTATTGTAAAATAACACATGTCATTTGGATAATTCTCTTCAACTCCAAAGTATTTTTATACAATACAAATAGTTGAAGTTAATTTTATGAAAGAAAAAAGGCGGATTATGGGAGTGTGTGACTTGAATTATTGATTTGGCCATGCAGATAAAGAATTGGATCTGCCACATTAGAATTCACAACCAAAGGTGTCTCCGCATCCAATCAACATGTAAGTCCCCTACCTAGGAAGGATAGGCTGGTTCACTTGAGGAGAACATATTCTATGATCATACCGCAACCATGTCATCCATGAACAGGCTCCGTAAGATCCCATAGAGTAAAAATGGAATAAGTCATGTGACATGAACCAGTTCTCTATTTATTACACTTACCTTTTTATTATAGTATGGAAATGCATTCATTTTCTTTGCATCGATTGTGATCCGCAATACTATCGGAGTAAAAGAAGGGATCTAAGGAAGAATGTAGGCTAAACTTTTTGATTTTTTATTAGTAACAAGTAAATATTTTGTTTGGAGGTAAGAAACTTGCGATATTGAGGGGATAAATACCAACTAATCAAGAAACATGAGACAATCCACAAAGCAATTGATCATGATCAAATTTGTAAGCCCACTTGGATATTGAGCATTTACCCATAAGAATAGGACTATTTTCAATGAGTAGTTGTAGGTGCAACTTCGGAAAAGAGAATCTGATAAAACTTATCTTGCCTAGAGTCATTGAGTCATTATAAACCTTAATTCTATTAAGGATCTTCCGCGGTCTTATTTCTTTCACTCTTGCTCGAGCCGAATGATGATAAATTCTCATGTCCGGTTCCTTTGGGGGATGGATCCTAAAGAGTTCACCTATCCCAATAACAAAGAAACCAGACTTAAATGATCCTGTATTAAGAGCTCAATTAACTAAAGGAGGGATGGGACATAATTATTACGGACACACACACACACACACACACAGCCGGTCTATTATGCTAATATTAGCAAAATAACTATTCTGATAACACTTTCACACTGCACGCTTAACGTAAATGCACCGCACTTTCAGTAGCAGGGGTGCTGCAATACAGAGACTACTCCCTCTCTCTCAGTTTACAGGGCGTGCGTATACCCCTAGGTCGTCAATTTGACCAACCTAATACAAGTCATATATTACAAAAAACATACCAAGATAAACTTCAGATGTTCTATTTTCAAAAGGTATAATTTTTTGTTATATAGTTTATATTAAGATGATAAAATTGGCAACCTAGGTATACACATAGGACTTGTAAACTGAGATGGAGGGAGTACTAAACTTCGTGTCGAAAAATCCGCACGCGGTGTTTTTTGATACCTTTTTCGCTCTAGTTTTTTAACCGTTTATCGGAGCGAGACGTGTAATATACTGTTGAGAAGCTATGGATTAGGCGCAACTTCACCATATTGAACACTTTTCACGATTCTTCACGGCTTATGAGCAGTTTTGAAAATGGTGCGGCGCACGACGAGTGGCAGCGAGCGTATTTTCGTGTTTTTTTCTAAAGCGCTTGTTAGAATGAAGCAAGTGATACGCCGTTGGCAAGATATCATCGAGGTGCGTATTTTTCATATCTATTATTTTCTCTAATTCGTTATGGTTTAAGAGCAGTTTTAAATTTAGTAAATCACGAAATTATTTTTTTTGAATTTTTAGCAATTTTCATACTGTTTTCACTCCATTTTTTGTACTGTTTGTCGAAACGAGGCGTCTGATACTCCGTTGGAAAGCTACGAAAGAGGCGCAACTTTCATATGTTGAAATGTTTTTGAGATTCCTTATGGTTTATAGTTAATTTTGAAAATGGTGCGGCTGGCGATGAGTGGCAGCGGCCGTTTGTCGCGTAATTTTTACAAACCATTTGTCGGAATGATTCAAATTATATGCCGTTAGAAAAATATCAAGGAAACACAACTTTTTCATATAGAACACTCTCTCTACTTCCTTATGGTTTATGAGCAGTTTTGATTTTTACCAAAAAGCGGACACTCTGTTTTTCGCGATGCCAAAATCAACGTGTGTACTGCATAAAAAAGAAGAGCGCACGCCTTCCGACTGAAAACCGCACTGCATCAGACGGTCAAGTGAACTTCATATTATTTTTAAATACAATTTGTTTTTAAATGGATTGCACGATAAGTCATTCGTAGTAGACTTTTTTCAAGACCAAAGTGTACCGCATTTGCCTGTGATTTTAAATGCATTTTGTTTTTAAATGGAGTGTAGTAAAAAGTCGTTCCTGTTGGACTTTTTTTAGAACAAAATGCACTGCATTTTTGCATGTTTTGTAAATTCTTTTTATTTGAAATGTACTGTACTGAAGAGTCATTCGTAGTGGACTTTTTTCAGGACCAAAGTGCACCACATTTACATGATTTTTAGTGCATTTTTTGTTTTAAAATGTGTGTACTGAAAAGTCCTTCATAGTGTTTTTTTAGACTAAAGTGCACTGCATTTGTCATGTTTTTAATTGCATTTTGTTTGAAATGGACTGTATTGAAGAGTCCTTTGTAGTGGACTTTTTTAATATGCAAAGTGCACCGCATTTTCTTCCTAATTTTTTACTGCACAATGGAAACATAGTGAACCTTATGAAGAAACTTCAACCTTTTTGCTGCATCTTTGTTCCAAATTTTTTAAATACTAGTGATAACTTCCTGCACGAACGGGTCAAGTGTACTGCAACATTTTTTATTTTGCATAGTGAACCACACAGATTTATAAAGCAAACCACAAAGATTTTAACAATGGGCTACAATAGTTTGAAAAAATGTACTTCTTCGGTTCACCGAGTGCACTGCTTTTATAAAGAAAAGATTTTACAAACTAAGTAATGCAAGCATACTGCATCAAATTTGTTCTTTCATTGTTATTTTTCTGCACATGGCAACAAAGTGCACTACATAAAATAAATTTAATTTTTAATGCAGCAACACACTTACTGCAATGAGAGGGTTAGTTTTTGTGAATTGAACTGCAGCAAAGACACCGATTTTTGCACTGAATTGACAAAACAGAAATAAATGTCTTCTGAACTATACTGCACATGCAAATTCTGAACATGAACAAAATTGCACAGAGCACTGAACTGTGCTGCATCTCAGTGGAACAAAAATGGCGAGCAAATTGCGTTGCGCTCAGGGTAGGGAAGAGAGGAGTACAACAGAGAGGCGTCGGACATGCAATCCTGAACGATATGGCACTCCCCGCCCAACTACACACCAACTACACACTGGCACATGCCGCAAAGCACAGACGCGCCGCCCGGCCGCACGGAGGCGAGCTCACTTGAAGCAATGCATTGCGAGTGGGTGGATCCAGGGCGAAGCAGACTGGAGACAATGAGCACGGGCCTCTACCCCCGGAGAACTGCACGCAGGGCCACTGCCCGCCGGATAACTACACGCAGGGGCCGCTACAAGCCAGCAAACTGCATCCTTGCCCCCCGTAGTGCGCTGAATCGAGAGAGGATGGAGATGGAGGCTGGTCGTGGCCATCAAGAGAGAGGAAGGCGGGGACAAAAGATGCCCTCGACGGGTGGCCTGCAAATGAAACAAGGACGAAGGTGAGCAGGGGATGGGTGATGCAGTTCGGTGGGGAACCTAGGGGCGCGGCGCCGGCAGTGGCGGCCTGGATCCACCCGCGGTGTAGAGCGGAGGTGGTGGCGGTGCGGGTTGGGATCCAGGGTGGCTGGTCCGCGTCGGAGGAGGGGGAACCCACGCCTCGCCGGAGAGGAGGAAGAGAGCCGGCTGGTCTCCTCCCTCGGGCCTGGTTGGATCCGCAATGGCGTGGAGCGGCCGACAGCATGGTGATTCTAGGCGGCCGGTGGGATGTGGTGGGGCGGCGAGGAAGGTAGGCGACCCAGGGAGGCAGTGCGGCGGTGA